GTGTGTCTGTGTGTCTGTGTGTGTGTGTGTGTGTGTGTCTGTGTCTGCCTATGTGTGTGTATCTGAGTGTCTGAGTGTGTGTCTGAGTGTGTGTGTGTCTGTGTCTGTGTGTGTGTGTGTGTCTGAGTCTGCCTGTCTGTGTCTGCGTATGTGTGTGTGTGTGTGTCTGAGTGTGTGTGTGTGTCTGTGTCTGCCTATGTGTGTGTATCTGAGTGTCTGAGTGTGTGTCTGTGTGTGTGTGTGTGTGTGTGTGTGTCTGAGTGTGCCTGTGTGAGAGTGTCTGAGTGTGTCTCTGTGTCTGCCTGTGTGTGTGTGTGTGTGTGTGTGTGTGTGTAAGTTTCCACAGAGTCAGACTTCATGTCGAGAGCTGACATCACTCTTCCTACAGTCTTTCAAACAGCCAAGGTTTTACAAACAATACACATGAGGGAAAGTCAGGCTAGACACAAGAGTGGGGATGTGATTTTTTCCAGAATAAAACACAGAATTGACTGTGGAGGAAGAATAGAGCATGAAACCTCAACTAATACAGGCACACGGGACTTTAGAATAATTCATTATGATTTAGCACAATCAATTTGCATACTTAATAAGCATTCCGCTAAAAGCGAGCTCATTTCGTCTTAGCATGCTGTTATAACGAGCTGTCAAAAAGCTATTTACTAAAACTAACAACTTCATTTCAGGGAATCCAAACAGCTAAACGTATTTCAAAAAGCATGTTTCAACATTATAAAAGACATAATGATGTTTGTAAAACACACTTTATGAAATATAAACATAAACAGTGACTCGAACCGAACAAACAGAAGCTTTCGAGTCTCGCTTTCGCTTGACGTTCCGACTAAATAAACAAATGTCCAGAACTGAATTGTAACTTCACACGTTTAAGTAACTGAACATTTTTTACCTTACGTTATGAATTATTCAATCCATCCACATGTGCTCTTTCAAACTGCAAGGCACTTGTCTCTGATGTAAACACACTGGTCAGCGCGTGTCTATTTGGCGTCACGCGGGTCTGCCAGGGATTATGGGTAATGGAGTTTTTAAGCGCGCGGTGGCAAGCGAACGCTGCTGTAGTTCTGCGTTTGCCCTCGTCGCATAATAAAAGACAAATTTAAACGTTAAAGAGCGCCACCAAAAAAGCTTTTCAGATTCATACGCTTAAAAAAACATTTTAAAAAATATATAACAATATAAAACATGAATAGCCTCTAAAAAATATTAACATAGATGCGTAGTACATTTTCAAAAACAAAAATCACTAGAAAATATTAATGACTTAAATTATTATTTTGTACTTTATTATTAATAAAAGGCTATTAACATCGTTTTTATCTTTAACTGTTATTGCCTGACCTTCTGTAGTATTATTTTTCCTTTTTTGCATAGCCTATTAAAATAAAAAAAAATAACGAACCCCCAAAAATATGTTTAAAATAAGCAATACGTCAACAAAGGGCCATATAAAAAACATCCTAATTTAGTTCCATATATATGAATGCTGTTGTCGTGTCTTAATTCTGTGCTGTTGTTGTTGTCTGATTTTTTGTATAATATTAACTTTAGCCCGGGCTCTTTATCTGTCTTTAGAAATAGGAAATGAGTCACTCCTCTTCTGTGCTTGTTTGCTTTCTGTCTGGCTTGAATGAGTTGTGTTTATGTCTCTTTATGAGTCTTTATGTCTCTCAGTATTAGCGAACAGTCAAAGAAAACTCTTCACCCCGTTGCCATAATAATCCATCAAATGATAAATCATTTGCTTAATATGTTTTTAAAATGTGTCTTTTACACCCTTGCTGAACTCGAAACATCTTTAAATCACACCCGTGCTGCTGTAGCTGTATTGTCTCTGTCTAATAATATTCGCTGCATTGCTTGGTAAGAGGAGAATGAACTGCTCATTTATTTTGATGCCACGAAATGGTGCTTGGAGACATGACGTGCTCGAGACTCATCAGCATAATAATCCTCCTGCTTCTGCATATATATATATATATATATATATAAACCACAAAAACTGAGCTCACCCAAGTCCCTGCCTCTTAAGACAAACCACACAACGAGACAAAACACTGCGGCTTTCCATCTTTCTAACCACAACCTCTGGAATCACCTTTTTAACCCTTCACAAAGACTCTGCACGGAGAAAGAAAGGTCTTAAGGACTTTTGCAAAACCTCTTAACTTTCTTTTTAACTTCGCATACGGTGGCGCGTTTTGAGAAGCGCGTTGACGCGAACTCTCTCCGAGCGAGCGCCGCGCGTAATGCGAAGCGACTCGCTTTTAATCCGGATTTTGACGCTCGTTACAGCAAAGGAGAAGCAAGATCGCCTCGTGAACTATGTCGGTGTTTCTTCAGAGCGTAGCCAGGAGCCCCCCGCGCGTTTCTTTCCACGCGTTTCACCTGTAGAGCTCGCGCGTAAAGCCCGAGGGGAACCGAACTTATCCAACTTTCTCGCTTTCTGGAAAGCGCCAAACGGACTTTACGTAGATAGATCCCGTCTATTTTGAATCGAAAACTCAGTGTGGTGTCGGTTTGAAGTGCCCTTACCTTTGCTGACACTGTTGTGATGCGCATTCCGGTAGATCCGAGCACCAGCCGCAGGTTCAGTCCGCCGTCCAGCAGCCTTCAGCCGGTGGCGGGGAAGATGAGCGATGCGCAGCAGGAGCAGAACGCGGCGCTGCCGAGACTCCGACAGCACGACAACCGGACGATGGTGGAGATCATCGCGGACCACCCCGCCGAGCTCGTGCGGACGGACAGCCCCAACTTTCTGTGCTCAGTGCTGCCGTCTCACTGGAGGTGCAACAAAACTCTCCCGGTGGCGTTTAAGGTCAGAAATCATCCGTTTATTAAGATGTGATTAACAGACCAGTATTTAGTTCATATGGTTCAGCTTTATGATAGATTTCTAGCTATTTGCATGGGCATTAACTAGCGTTCTGTTCAGTCTGACATGAATATTTGAATAGATCAGTACACTTTTTACATTCGTATGTGAATATTTTTTTATTAGCCTATTAATTTAAACCAGGTAATTATTGATCCCATTCAGATTGAAATCTCTTTTACAAGATCTGGCCAAGATCCAGACAGCATTAAAAATACATAAATACACACTTTAATATGAGAAGGAAAGAAAACGCAATCATTTAGAATAGTTTCAATAAACTGTACATTTTTCAGGACAGCCTGCATGAAAGGTTACATATAGATCTCATATCTAATCAAACTTTTATCACTCTTAACTACCTTTAACCAAAATATCTGTGCAGGTTTTTCCCCAATTGTATTGACTTATATTATATATAAGATTATTTATGGTGTTTTACTAGTGTTTCTTTTCCACGTTATCCATGTGCTTTATTAATAATAGTAGTTTTTTATTATTAATATTCACATGTTCAGATCAGATGATTTTTGTTTTTTTGTTTTTTGTTTTTGTTTTAATGGGAGTTACTGATGTTTAAAATGAGGAATCCGAGAGAAGTGAAATCTGAGCGATGTAAAGCTCTTCATAGATACAAAGACATGCATATTTAATCACACGGCCTAAATTACACACAACTATTAATACTTTGACCAAAGATAGAGTATTTCATACAAACAGACTGCGTGTAAAGTATCTGTAACAGGAACCGTTTCGCTCGGGCTTCTTCTGTAAGCATACTTTTGTTCAATTATTTGAGCTTTTGAAGCTGAACCAGCCCTCTTGCTCACACTGAACATCAAAACATTCCCCTCAATTAAATGTCATTTTTGCAATTTTTGTAATTGTTATCAAGTAAGATTTAGTTGCTGCATCATTTGCATTATGTAGCAAAATCCAAGTTTCAAAAAAGTAAAAAAAAAAAAAAAAGGCAAGAAGTAGCCTTCGGATTAAAACTTTAGTGCATTTAAGAAAAAAGCATCTATATCATCAACTAAATGTTTTTTCATATTTATTTTAAATTTCATAAAGCTTACATTTCAGTAAAATTAGATTTTTTTTTTTACAATATACATTTTTTTTATAATATTTATTTTTCTGAATCACTAGTGATGTTTAAGCACTGGTGTATTTGAGTTGTACTGACATCACCAGATGTTTCTGACCAATTTAAGTGGAATTTCTTACATACACAATTTAAAAGGTCACATTTAAGAACAATCTAGCTTTTGTTTCTAGCAGGTTTTAATTGATTTATTTGGTTATTAACCCCCTGAGGCCGGCAGTCTCGCTTCATAAAGTCATTTATAATCAGTATCACAGGCCTGTTTTCATCAGTCTGTGAATAAACATTCAGACTGCAGTGAAATGCAGGGTAAATTACAGCGGGACAGTCACAGTGTGTCCGTTTCTGTTCAGGTTGTTGCTCTGGGAGATGTTCCTGACGCGACGGTGGTGACAGTTATGGCAGGAAATGACGAGAACTACTCGGGAGAGCTGCGAAACGCCTCAGCTGTCATGAAGAATCAGGTGGCGCGTTTCAACGACCTGAGATTTGTTGGCAGGAGTGGAAGAGGTTGGTACTTCCACTTTAATTCTATTTATTTTTCGCTGGCCGCTTCGTTTGCTTTGGCTTAATCATAAAAAAGGATCAAATCACGCAAGATGTTTCGTTTACAATAAATGACATGTTGGAAATAAAATTTCGGCATGCAGTGCACAAGCCAAATGGACTGAAAGTCAAGTTTTACCACAAATAGTCTGGTAAAATAGATTGATTATAATTTAAGGCATGGCTTCTGTGTAGCCTTTTTAAAACAAAAATGCAAATTATACATTGCATGTTTTACATGAACACAATAGGATACTGTCCAAGATTCCTCACTTACAGAAATATTGAAAAGAAAGAGCTGCAGAATTGGAAGAGAATCACAGAAAGGCGTTATTATTTTCCATCAGCGTCCAACAATTTGAGCACTTCCATGTTGAGAATAAAGAAAAAGGGTGCTTTCCAAAAAAGACGGTCATTTAAGTATTCCCAAAGCTTAAAAAGTGAAACAAGACTTATAACTGTAGCAAAATATTGCATTCACTGCCATTTCCTATCTAATACTTTTCTGTTACATCCACCCTAAACATCCCCCAAAAAACTAAAAAGTCTTTAAGGCGTGAACGCGGGCTCAAAGTGCTCACAGACTGCTTATGTGTGGATGAATGCTGCTTTTGATATGCTTGCAATTATTGTCAGAGACAAAGTCCCGCTTTTGGGATCCTGTCGGAAGAAGGCATTGAGAGTGCAGGTCTTTGAAGCTTCTGGGACAGGCAGTGAGATCAGAGGAACGGTCTGTCTGCCGCTGGAGGCTGCGTATACTCGGGCGTGCGGTCTAGACTTGCCCTTATAATCCACACGGGCACTTAAAGTGAAGCAGGGACGTGTGCAGCAGGGAATCCCTCGCATGGCGTCCACAAACTACAGACTCAAAACATTCAAAAACAGCTCCAGGTGTTTGGGGAAGTGCGCTCGACCTACTGTATATGGGCTTCTCGATGGCTGATGGCTGATACAGTATGTGATAAACATCAACGTTGTCTGATATTTGGTTATTTTGAGATTTCTTACTACTAACAGAAATGGTCATTCTGCCAGTGTTAATTCCAAAATCTAAAAAGAAAATATATAAATATATAATAATAGTGCATTTTGAGTCAATAAAGTGTAAAATATTTTACATTTTTATTCAAATTTTTTTTTTCAAAATCATTATTATATAAAATTATTAAACTGCATTGGGCAATTAAATTTGTATTATTATTTTAAATTAATATTTCAGATATATATTTTGAGATATAAATATAAAAATATATTTTATTATAATATATAACATTTAAAATTAATATATAAAATGTATTGAAATATATATATATATATATATATATAAATAAAATGCATAATTGATATAATATAATATTTTATATTTGTCATCAGCTATCCTGTTTTGAAAATATTGTTATTGTTATGAGCTTTGGCCAATAAAACGAACAAGTAAATCAGTTAACCACTACTTTACACAATAAATAACTCAATTACACTAAACATTTTTTAATCATCCATTGACAAGGCTGCTGATAGATTTTGGAACAATTATGAGCGGGGGGAAAAAACTAGTGCAACTTTTTAGGTCTGTGGTTTCATTTGCTGGCGTATGGGTTATCAGTCGGAGTGGCTGTGCAGACGGTGGTTTTCTGACCGGTCGGCTGGTCTCAGCGCATTCCTGCAGCAATGCATGTCCTCACACACCCTCAACACGCTATCAGTGTGCATGTGTGCGCATCCGTGTTATCTCCTCACAGCTGTCACAGTCAACAGGGCCTTGGCCCGCATGGAGACCCACACCTTCGCAGGCTTAAGTTTCTTCTATCTATGACACGGGATCTGGAAGAGGAAGTCAGGGAGGAGATAGCGCAGCATAAGGAAATTAAATATGGAAAACGATACGAGGCGCGATGTGGAAGATTAGAATACGATCGACCACAATCAAACAAATGACATCATAAAAAATAAGCCGCCTGGAGTTACTAAAAGCAACTGCGTTTCCTGAGACAAAACACTTGATTTATACAGAAACGCTTTTGTGTTTTCAGAAGTACTGCACCCTTATTTATGAATGGATTTGGATATGCTGCTTGGGTTAGGACAGGGCGGGATGTTTGTTGTTGATCAGGACTTTATGCATTTCACATGCAGTCTGTCTCGTTCTGTTTAGGAAATCATTTCGAACAGAAAACCCCTTCTGAATGAGCCAGCGTTTAGGATATTTTTAGCAGCTGGACAGCAACCGTTGGATGGATGGCAGATGCCAGGGTTGGTTAGACGCTGGGCAGGGCCGCGCCGCCATGTGTGTTTGGTATCAGCTCGCTGGGACGGGCTTGGGTGGGTCTGCGAAAGTGCTTTTGGGGGCTCATGGACGGATTCCTGTGGGAGAAAAGAAAAACCAATTACTTTAGCAAGACTTATTGCATAACATGCACAAGAATATCAGGAAACCAAAATGTGGGAGTTCTAGAAAAAGCATGCAAATGAGAAATGCATGACTATTTATTCTGTAAAATGTGTTTTGCTTAATTAATTATATGTTCAATTAATGTTAGAAAGAGGCATTTTGCAAGACTTATTGCATAAGGTTAACTGGAATGTCAGTCAATCAAAAATATTACAGCTCTAGAAAATACTTGTGAATATGGGAAATGCATGATTTTTCTTCTCCAAAATGTTATGTAATGAATTATATATTCAATTAATAATAGAAAGAGTAATTAATTTAGCCAGACTTATTGCTTAACATGCACAAGAATATCAGGAAACCAAAAATGTGGGAGTTCTAGAAAAAGTATGCATATGAAAAACGCATGACTGTTTATTCTATCAAATGTGCTGTTTAATTAATTCTGTGTTCAATTACAGTTAATTACTGTAGTAAGACCTTATTTTCTAAAGTTAAAAATATCTGTAAATCAAAAATGCTGAAAGACAACATATGAGAAATGCATGACTGTTTATTCTAAAATATGCTGTTTAATTAATTATATGCTCCATTTATGTAATTGAAAGAGTGATTTTGCAAGACTTATTGCATAAGGTCAACTGGAATGTCAGTAAATCAAAAATATTACAGTTCTAGAAAATACTTGTGAATATGAGAAATGCATGACTTTTTCTTCTCTAAAATGTTATTAAATAGAAAGACTAATTACTTTAGCCAGACTTATTGTATAACATTTACAAGAATGTCGGCAAATCAAAAGCTGTGGCAGATCTAGAAAATGCATGTACAGTATATGGGAAATGCATGACTGTTTATTCTATAATTGAATTTGAACACTCAGTTCTATCCCAGCTAACAGGAACTTTGACGAACGTTCTGGCAAGGTTCTCTTAAAGTTATGAACAAACATTCTTCCAGTAACGTTAATAGAATGTTCGTTTAAAGTTGTCTGGTCTTTAATAAAGTTCTCAAAACATTTGCACAAAAACGTTATTTATACATCCTTCATGAATGCTTTTTCCTGAAACAGTTTAGTTGGACGTTTTTTAAATGTTACTACTTGTTTCATTCAGAGAACCTTTGAAGGTAACATTCCCACAACATTTGCCAAACGATCAAATGGAATGTTCCCTTAATGTTCACATCAGCAAGATCGAATGTTTTTAAATCTTTTCAAAAACTGGACGTTCTGAACGTTCAGAAACAACCTTTTTATAACTTAATGCGAACATTAGCGAAACATTCTTGAGTTAGCTGGGAAAATATGTTGTTTGATGACTTGCGTATTCAATTCATGTTTGAATGAGTAATTACTTGAGCAAGAATGATTGTGTAACATTTACTCTACAACAATGTTAGGTGACTCAAAAATGTTGCAATTCTACAAAATGCATGTATATGGGAAATGCATCCATGCATATTCTATCAAATTATATGTTGAGTTATTGAGTGGTTGCTAGGTGGTTGTTTAGTGGTCCTAGTCGAAAGCTTGTACGAGTTTTGTAATTTGATTATTAGAGTAGGTTTTACGACATACTTTTTTAGTTTTTCTACTTGAAAATCTTAAAGCGATTTCAAGTTTTCCTTTCTCTTTGGAGTGTTACAAGCTGATTGTGCATAGATAAGATTCCTGAAGTTGCAAAGACTAAAGTCTCAAACCCAAAGAGATATTCTTTATCAAAGTTAAGACTCTGCCACGCCCCCCTAAAACAGCTCGTTCTAACACGCCCCCACATATCTACCTCACAAATGTGCACGCAAAGAAAGAAGGCGTGGTTTCAGTAACCGCAGTTAGTGTTGAAGCAGCATGTCAGAGAGACGCTGTGTGTTTCTAGACGAAAGCAAAAGCACTTTATTTGGCCTTCCGGAAGTAGATGCATTTAGGAATCTTTAAGATTACTTACAACAGAACAGCAATGCATTTTATGGACGACCGTTTCGTGAACCTAGGAGAGGAGGTCATTCTGACTTTGCTATGACAATCTGGCGCTTCTGAATCAGCTACTGTTTTGTTATTAGCTTAAGTAAGTGTGTGTGTGTGTGTCCGTGTGTGAGAGAGAGAGAGAGAGAGAGAGTCTAAGTTCTAAGACAGGGAGTCAGCTGTCTTAACCGTGGCTTGTGTGCTGCAAACACATACCAGCTTCATCACTGTGTCTGTCACGAGACTCTGTTCCCCTTTCGGGCTCTGTCTTTACATTTATTTTGAAAGATGAAGCCCGCGATTATAGTAAGGGGCGTTACATTTCCGACGAGTGTTTGTGGTGTTCGGCCGATCGCAATGCACTGGGTCAGCTGGCCAATCAGAGCAGACTGCGCTTGTCGGAAGGAGGGGCTTTGTAGAAAACGAAGCGTTTGAGAGAGGCGGGGGATAGAGGACCTACAATAATGTACAGTATTTGAAAAACAATGTGTTTTTTGAACATTAAAGCATGTCAACATGTTCTGTTACACCAAATACACCAAATAATGATCTTTAAAAAAGCATCATATGACCCCTTTAAAACTGAGTGAAAACTGCTAGCCAATCCTAGTACACCAATTGTGTTTGACTGAATGAGCTCCATACTCAAAGCAAGTGAGTCTCAGGGAATGCTAATGAAGCATACAACTCAAACAATGGTCTTTTGACGTTATATTTGTTTTAAAGCTCTCACCATTCCAAGAGCTACTCAATTAATTACCAGTTTTGAAGCCGTTCAGTCTGATGCACGATCTACAGCAAGAAGTCTAAGCCAAATGTAGATGCCGGCCATATTGTGTCAGTCCTTTCCACCCACTTCTTCCTGTCTTATTGCAGATCGCGGCTCTGAGAATGTGTCATGCCTGACTTCACGGCATGCTTTGCACATTACTGCTGAGTTTGCCTCATTAGAAGTATCTTAGTATTTCCTGTGTGCTACTGACAGAAAGTGTCACCTCTTTAGCACAACAATATTTTGTGTTGAAGTTAATTGGTGATAAAGTTTTTAAACACTACAAGTTCACTACAAGAACATGGGAAATGTTGATCAGTAAAAGGTCATGTAAGATGAAAAATCAGTGAAAGCAGGACCCCACCTTCACACCCAACCCTCTAATGTTCACACATAAAAGAATAACGACTAATAACAGCACTGCTCACTGCTGTGGATGTGCATTCTTGGCTGTTTTAAAAAGGAAACCCAAATGGCAGTGCATGGGAACATGCTAGCAAATGAGCAGAGGTTTGTATTATTTGCATCAAAAGAAAAAAATCATATCCCTTTCTTGCAGTAAAATAGCTAATAAATAAATATTCTTAAAATTAATATAAAATTATAATTTTTTTAATATTATTCTTATATAAAATAATACACCTTTAACACAATATTAACTAAACAAATATTTATCATTCTAATATTTAGAGAGGTCCAAATGTAAAAATTCATTTTCTTCATTAAAAAATCCTGACAAGAGATCCACCAATAATAATGTACGCGTTACTTTATTGCAGTATAAAGTCATTTAAATATCACTATAAATAATACATATGAATAAAAATATAAAATTGCTAATAAAATAAACGTGTTAATCCAACATTAACCAAATTAATTATTAATAACTTAAAATCTTTCAATGAAATACATTTAAATATGCCTAAAAATATATTTAAAAATAATAATTTAATATATATTTAATAACTTCAAAATATATATACTGAAAATATATTTTAAAAACTTAAAAATATATATTTTCATACTTGCTTTGCACGAGACATGCACGGTTCATTCCACTTGGATGAATCCTATATGAATTCTAACATGGTCTTTTTTATGCATTTCTGATTTGTCATGTCCAACAACTCATAAATTCAATGGTCAGCAAGGGTCACTTTCCAAACTAATTCCATTCTTGTCCGTTGCGCCCAGGCCTTTTCAATCGGTCACTTACAATTTCTGAGTAAAAATTGTTTCTACACCAGTTTTTTTTTTTGTATTTTGTATGAAATCCTATTTCCACCATCGGATCAAATAAAATAATAATAATAATAAAAATAGCAAAAAAGGTAATTGCAACTTTACAATTTGCAACTCTGGGAAAACTGTGTGATATAAATGCAGAATTATGATTTTTTTTTTTTTTACTCGGAATTCAGAGAAAAAGTCAGAATTGCAAGATATAAACTAAGAATTTTGAGATATAAATGCAAAATGGCAAAATGTAAACTCAGAAGCGCGAGAAACAAAGTCCAAATTGTGAGATATAAGCTCAGAATTGCGATAGAAAATAAAATAAAATTGAGAAATACGTTTTAAAATATGAAATAAAATCACATTGTGAGATATAGTCAAAGTTATGATAAATAAATAAGATTTTTTTTTTATTATTCTGATCTGGAAATCGACCCTCTGATTGGTGGAATTTAAAAGCAGAGCTCAACGCTACTCTTTGATTGGTGGAATTTAGAAGGCAGAGCTCGCTGCTGTTCTGTGATTGGTGGAAAT